CGATAGACCTACCTCCACATGGTGCATCCTGGGCAACGTATACTCATACGGCAAAACGTCTATTAACCGCCAACTGCATTCTAACATCAAACTACCACGACCCCACTGAATGCTACATTTGACCACTTCAACAGTATTCATCTTACCTTTTCTCTGCCTATGTGACTATCTTCCACTTTACATCTGTGAATCACTCTTCTTTCCCCCCTCTCGAATTTTTCTCACTATGATGTCCCCCCCCTCTTTGAAGTCCGAAGTCAGCTAAAGGACTAATGATGACTATCAATATCCCTGCCATTTGAAAGAAATAACGATCACTTTTCTTTTCCTTCGCAATGCCAATTGGATGCTTTCATAAGTTCCTTTCTAACTCAAGGTTGCTCAAGGTGACGAAGAAAAAGGTTTTGATGAATACAATCTTGAAACGAAATGTTTCAATTTGGGTTTGTAAAGGAATGAGTAAATAGAGAAATGATAATCATAATGCTATTTACATTTCTCTATTCAATTGATAATACAAATCATACACTTATTTTTATTCTCTAAATACAATCTGTGAATAAACCAACGTTTTTTGCGACGGTAGGTTACGGAGTAATGATTAGTTATCATATTGATTTTGTTCAAACTTAGCACAGGAATGATACAATTTGCCATAATCTTTAGAATCTATTAGGGGAAGCTAATTGATGCACGAACAGGGCAAGGTGAGGTTATTCTGGAGATGCTTTCGTGACAAACCCTCCTTTGAAATTTGCAGCGGAAGAGGAATGCTCAACGATCTGCATCGACGAGTACGATCTCGTTGCTGGCTTCCAAATAGCGTGCTTACTTGCCAAGTTTCATTCATAATAAAAGTAGCTGAACTCTATTTTTGTAATATCGAAAAATTTCAAGTTAGGAAAAAAACCGTAGTATTTTGCATTTTGCGTTTCAGAATTAACTCATATTTTAAATACTCTCATTTGAAGTGATTAGAACAAAGTTTGATGTCCTGAATAAATGTGAATAAACTGTTATTTGCTTTGCAAATATTTAACTTCGTAAGCGTTTGTTTCCTTAATTCTAAAATAATGGAAGACGTGGACAGAACTTAGTTTTTGCTAAATGGAAGTTTCAAGTGGATATTCCCCCCCCCCCCATAGAATAGATCAACATTAATAATACATTTGTTTTGATACACGAAGTAGTAGAGTATATATCAAACATCACATCTGGTTTTATTTTGATTGTAAAATTCAATAAATGAGGTACTATAACTGATGCCCATGTAATAAGATAGGTTTAAATTGTTTTTGACAAGAACAATGTTTGTAATCAATTAGTAATATTTAAAAAATTAAGAAAACTACTGTTTGAACACAAACGTTAGATTCGCGAATATTTATTTATTTCAAATGGTAAGCGTTTTGATAACTATCATTAACCATTTAGCTGATTTCGGGCTTCACAAAGGGAAGGTTCATTAAAGTAGCAGAAAGTCGAGGTGTGGAGAACAGAAGAGCGATTCGCAGATGTAAGAGATAAACAAACACAAAGGTAAAGAAAAGGGTAAGTTGAGTACTGTGAAAGTGGTGGAATATGACATATGGTGGGGTCTTGGCAGTTTGAAGTCAGAAGTCAAATGCCGGTTAATAGACATTTTTGCCGTATGAGTATACGTTGCCCAGGGTGTACCACGTGGAGGTAAGTCTATCGCACACCTCAGATTCGCGAATACGATTTATTGAATTGGCTTATTGGCTTCAATTCAAAAGCTTTAAAAGATTTCAAGTATGCAATTATTAGTTAAGATTAAATGCACTTTGGCGATTTAGAAAGCAATACGTACATATTCGTGAATAGTAACCTTCCATTTATCGGAGAACTCACATTATTGCCTAACCCTGTCTATTATGAATGAACCATTATTTGCAAATTTGACTCCATTAAAGAAATTTTATTAAAGTTAAAAAAGTTGGAATGACGATTAACTCAATAAAGCTGAGGTGTCTGGAAACTAGGTTATTGTATTAAATGTCATGTGATTATAAGCACAATTTAAACAAATTTTATTTGGAGTTTAAAATTGTAATGCGATTATATCTGCGTACATAATTTCAGCACTTCCTCTTAAAATTCATTCATCTTTATTTTAATTCTGTGAAAGATTTATTTATTAATTTATTTACATCAAATGGCAGGCGTCTTGATAGTTATCATTAGCCCTTTAGTTGACGTCAGGCTTCGCAGAGTGGAAGGAACATCAAATCGAAAAAAGTCGAGGGGCGGGGGAACAGAAGAGTTTTTTAAAGATGTAAGAGACAGACACAATGGTAGAAAAAAGGTGAGGTGAGTACTGTGTAAATATTCGAATATGGCATAGAGTGAGGTGTCGGTAGTATGAAGTGAGAAGTCAACTGCCATTAATAGACTTTTTGCCATATGAATATACGTTGCTCAGGGTGCACCACGTGGAGGTAAGTCTATGGCACACCCCAATCCTGTAAAAGAAGGGATAGACAGAATGCGTTTCTGCGTTGTAGGTGGCTTCACTATTTGTAGAGCTTAGAGTTTGCTTGGTTTGTCCTCATTTTGACTGTACCAGAGCTTAGTATTTTGTTTATTAAAGATAACTTCACACAACGGAGAAAAATTGTATTATTTCATTTAGATGGCACAAAACACAGTATTATAGGCAGTTTAAACCCACATTTGAAGAAAAAATTCTTTTTGATTTTAGCACAATCGGAAGAAAGCTATAAGCTTTGAAAATTGTTAAAAATCTCAATTATATATATATTCCCATATTCAGTAAATTACATTTAAACAAATATTAAGAAGACCTTGAACTCAAGTTTCGAAATTTTAATTGGGAAAGAAGATCTTCCAGTTGTTGCTTAGTTAGATTTTATGCAATGTAATTTTATACCTTGCAAGAAAAAACACAAAATAGCCGAAGGTGCTGTTTTATTAGAAAATTTGATTGGTTAGGTCATGGTTGACATTTTAAAAGACCATAAGTAAAGTAGGTTTATAATTGAAATATTACTAAATAAACAACATCTTTAATATCAAAGCACAATTTAATTTTGATAATGATTATAGAGCCAATGAAAGACTGCAGTTCGTTTGACCAATAAAATTATGGCACTAAAGAAATGGGAAAATAGGATTGAGTCCCTTCGTTCAAACGTCTTTCCATTGGTCGGCGCTCATCCCATGAGCAGATATATTGCGAAGAAAAGTGAACATGGTTTTAGTTGGACTTAAAAGATTGAAGTGATGAACTCTTTCCGTCTACTTATCGTCATCGCGATAGCAGTAGCTCTGTTCGCTCTGCTATACCAACCAGTGCAAGCGAATCGCATCACTCCAGAAGAAGTTGGTCTGGAAGAAATATATGACTTGGACGACTTTGAGAGTCCCTTCTTTGTAGATCGTCGAGGCTTCCTCTCTAGCTCTCGTCTTGGTCGACGCAAGAAGGGTTTTCTGACAGCTGGTCGATTAGGACGCTGAATGAGTCCATGGTCAGTGGATGAGAGATTATCACAGATGTATTCATTTAATCGGTAATAAAGCCTTTATCCCCATCGCATACATTTTTTATCCAACTTGATTCATCCTCAATTTTCGCATGTGTTCCGTGTTTGCGTTATCCATAGAAGCGTTTGTAATGAATAAAAACTGATTTCATCTTTTATTCGCACCTCAATCTTGACTCATTATAAAGTCTTATCGTTTCAAAGTTTTGAAAATATTTTATTTGTGTTAATTTAACTGTTTTACGCAAAGACAATTGAAACATTGATATGATAATTCAAATATAAAGAATATGCTGGAATTTAAAAAAAGAAATGGTAACAATGTATATTGGAAAATGATTTCAAATGATTAATAACATGGAATTCGATGTAATTCAGTTTCCACCAGTTGTTCAATCTAATGAGCTTTGATTAAATTAGATTTTTTAATTCATCATTTCAACTTTATTATTATTGTTATTAAGTTTACACCAATTGCAAACAAATCCAATCCACAGTAAGAAGGAAAAAGGCAATTTTTCTGTGTACGGAATATTACATTGAAACATGTTTTGTAATGGCAATTTAGCTTCTGATTAATAATTGACATCAGCATGACTATTCTAACGATTAGATCGATCGATTTCGAGTCACTAGGTTGCGATCCCACTATTGGAAAGATTGAAAGCTACAAAGTGATTGTCATTGCCATTCCATCCACACCGGCTGGAATAAACTTTATCGGAGGTATCAGTGCTTTTGAGTTGAATAACTAACGAGTTGCAAATCATATTCAAGTGCAATATACTCAACTGACCCCAACCCCCACCCCCTCCCTAATTTCTGCAGTTCGATAAAAAATATTAAAATTGTATCTTGTAATTCTAAAATTGGAATTGGCGTTATTGAGTGGGCTTTTCGCGATACATATAAAAGATGAATTCGAATAAAAATGTCTTATTTCATTTTATAATCGACTTCTATTTGCTGTTGCCTATTGAAATAAGCACCAAGAGAACGCAATATTCTCGAATATCCCGAGAGAATGAAGTTAAAGACTCCAATCACAAATGTTTTTAGTTTTGCCTTAAACTGAAAGATATATGGCGTTTTGTTTAAATCTTCCATCTGTCCTATCTGTAAAATAAATCAACTATCTTCCATTCAAAGTTGAGTATCTGCTAAAAGCAAAATTAGGCCAATATGTTTGCCACATTAATATTTACTTTATAACCCTTCTTACATAAAAGCTGTCCGATTTAACCACATTTTGAGCATTTTTTGTTCTTATTTAAACGATTTTTGGAAATAAACTTTTTTGCGCCTATACCAAAATCAATGATGCAGATATTGATTTATTCCTTCATTGGAATAAAAGCAAGGCGACGAATCATGTGTCCTTTGGATGGGCTAATGCCATTATTTACTGAGAATAATGCAATGACAATTTCGCATAGTTATTACACAGTAATAGAGGGAGGGGAACACTTGCTTTTAGTTATTGAATATAACTGCGTAATAAAGGCATTAATTTATGCAAAAGTTAGCAGTTCCACCACCTTAGCAGATACAACGGTGGCATATGATTCAAGAATTAGTAAACATGAAGCCATAATTACAAAATGCTTGGCATTATAAGGAGAAAATATTGGCAGCCAGTGCTCAGATCTAAAAATGCTTATTTCCCTTGGGCGGAAACCTATTGAGAGGGGAAGTAGAATCTGATTTAAATAACCCACGAAAGTTCCATAGTTGTTTCATATTTACCCCAAGTGTGTCCGATTAATGTCTGCTTCATTGTCCCTCTGTGAAATAACTCCGTCATATAAAAGCTACCTACATGGATCAGAAATAAAAAAATAAACTATAGGGATTTCAATAAAGACCCCATTTAACAATATCTCAAGCGGTGTGGAGTGTGAATTATTATTGAGGTTTCGAAATTTCTCCTGTGCGTTCTCATTAAATGCTTGAAATTTATGGGGTTGGGGCTTATTCAATAAAATCAGCGCTATGAAAAGTGTTCAAGCGTTTCAAACTAATGGTCACAGTCGAGCGAGATTTTAAAATAATGTTAGTAGTCAGGCCGAAAGCAGTGATGGTTTGCTCCGTTCAGTGGTTTATGAAATTAAAACATATATATATATACATATATATATATCGATTGCAACAAAATAACCACCTAATATTTTATTAAATACTTACCTTTCAAGGTTCATTTACTCATGACTAAAGCGTTCATGTTAATGTTAGATGAAATTGAGAATTTAAATCCAGTTGTACTGTTGATAAAGATTTTAAGTGATTTCCTTAGAATGCAGACTTCAGTTGAGCATTCTCATTGAGAATCTTTCGTAGTAGAGCGCAAATCCCATTTGCATTGTTCGATATGGAGGTTTTCGAGAGCAATATGCACTTCTATTTCTTTAGTTTGTCTACAAGCTGCTCATACCTGCATTTAGTTATTTATATCGAATGGCAGGCTTTATGATAGTTATCATTAGCCCTTTAGCTGACTTCGAAATAAGAAAATGCCGAGGGGGAGGGGGAACAGAAGAGTGGTTCGCTGATGCAAAAGAGATAGGCATAAACGTAGAGAAAAAGGTAAAATGAGTACCGTTAAAGTGGTTGAATATGACATACCGTGGGATGTTGGTAGTTTGAAGTTTGAAGTCGACCACCGATTTATAGACTTTTTCCGCATGTGCATAAGTTGCCTAGGGTGCACCACGTGGAGGTAAGCCTATCTCACACCTCAAATGTCATCTAATCGAATATCTGTAAATGATTTAATCAATTTAACTTCTCTACTTCCCCACTTCGCACCATCTTTATCATGATTACGTGCAACAGATTCAAATAGATGACATTTGATAAGCTTTTTTGTTTTAGTTTTTTTAAATTCTTTGCACCTCAAAAAATGAAAAGCAGGTTCATTGCACCCTTAAGTTTGCCTAATGACAGTGGAGGACAATTTTATACATCACGCCCTCGTGAATATGGCAATTAACTTTCTACCTTAAATCGCCTTCTCTTACGATTCTTACATCCCAAATCTATGATCATTTATTATTGAGAGGAGATATATTAGTACATAATTTTAAGCCGATTAGTCTAATATCCAATGCGATTCAAGGTAAAATAACGTAGTAAGACAAAAAGCATTTTGAAGAGAGGAATGGCGAACCATTAGAGAAGATTCGTGTTATACTAGAGTGCCGTCTTAAGTAGAAGCCAAACATGACGTGCAAAAGATTCGGAAGATCAAATTGGGAGAAATTGTCAAGATTGCATCACTTTTTATTTACCTCAAAGTAGTAATGTATATATATATATATATATATATATATATATATATATATGTTTAAGCTAAGCCGCAGTATTATCGGCTATAATAAGATTAATCTCCAAATATTCGGAGTATATAAACATAATGCTATGAATACGTGGTGTGCGAGAGACTTACCTTCATGTTGTGCACCTTGTGCGATGCATTCTTATGCGGCAAAAATTCTATAATCCGGCAGTTAACTTCTCACTTCAAACTACCATGAACCCACTCTATGTAATATTCCACCACTTCCACAGTACTTACCTTACCCTACTCTCGAACTTTGTGTCTGTCTCTTTTACATCTTTGTAGTAATCTTCTATTCCCCAACCCCACTCTCGACTTTTTCCAATTTGATGTCCCTCCCCTCCCCCTGTGAAGCCTGAAGTCAACTAAAGGGCTAATGATAGCCATCAAAACGCCTGCCATTTAAAATTAATAAATGTTATGAAGACCCCAGTTGACTTGAATAATTCCCGTGTGGAATAATGAAAATGCGAAGTTCCTGCGAGATATTGAAGCACACTGATGATGATCCTCGTGGGTATAAGTTTTGATTATCACATAGAGCCCCTTTATATCTTAACGTTAAACTACCTTACAACTTGGATAAGAGTAAATCATAAGACGTATAAAAGTGTTCCTATTCGCAAGCTACTTTGAGGGGAAAAGTTAAGACACGTCCTTAAATATGTCGTACATTGTAATACCCACAAGGGATTAAAGAAATGTCCTCCTAAGTTGACTTTAAAAAAAATTAGCATATAGTACTACAATGCGGGAAAGCAAATTTTGGCGATACTGCGCCTAATTGAAGGAAAAAAATGTAATTTGGAGGGAGAGAGGCTGATTTTAAAGCTGAATTTTTTATTGCTCAAATGGACGAAGCGATGTACCTTCAGGTGACCTTAATGTGGGTGGTAATTATTTGAGTTCACAACTAAATTATTAAATTTATTACGAGTGATGGAATGCTTTACTAATAATATCTAATCTAATTAGTAAAATCGAACGACTCACCGTTGCATTTTTTATTCTATTTAAAAACAATTTTTAACTAACTGCAGTTGCAGGTAAAATATCGAAATGTTAAGATTGTCTTATTTAAAAAAATACTGAAAAATTAAAAATTTAGAAAATATGCCCAGCTGATGGTTGTAATTTACTAATTAATCACTAATGCAATTAAGGAAACAAGTCAACTTGCTATTTAAAGCTAATTCCCGTTAGTGATTTGCGAGAAGTTGTAATTATTGTCCACAACCTAGCATGAAACGAACTACGTTAATTACTTTTTCTACTTTGAATAAAGGTAAATTTATTGTAGAACAAAGGTTGAAGTATTCTCGGTGTTAAGTTAGTGTATTGACTTGTAATATATTCATATTATACAGTCATTACGTAGTAAGAAGTTTAATTTTTTTTTTTTCAAGTTCCATGACTCCTCTTCTGGTTCACTGATCGGAATACCTTACCTCAGGCATTCATTACTTGCTGGTTGGCTGATTCAATTGAGACAATTGAACGCATCACCTTAAATTAGGTTTTCTTTTGAAGTTTACTAAATCAGAGTGATCACGCACTGAATCTACCAACCACAAGATCTCCACGTAACAGATCTACGATCGTACAATTTCAAGAACTCTTTTCTAAAATGCCTCGGT